CTTTTAGCAAATATTCACTGATGCGATTATACCGCATGCGCCCAGATTGCTTTAAACTGTACAAAGATCTTTGTAATCTGATTGAGTACATTTCCCGANACTTCAGGCGTGCTTTGGGTTCACTAGCTCCCATGCTAGTATATGGTCATGCTGGATCATCAATTCAGATAGGCACATTCTCTGCGGGGATATGTGACTTAGTTATCCTTTTCAAATCAGTAAATGCGTATGGCATTTGATTTGCTATATTCTGTAAATGGATGATCTTTTGGACCTCCTGATTACTACATATAGGGGTACGTGGATCAAAGTGAGATAATGATAAAACTTTTCACACAATTTCTCTTTTGATTTCCTTTTTCTCTCCCCCTAATTGTGGGAAATTTATTTCATCAAATTGACAATCTGCAAATCGAGCAGTAAATAAATCTCCCGTCAATGGTTCAAGATAGCGAAAAATAGAGGGTGATTCAAACCCAACATATATTCCTAACCTTTTTTGCGGGCCCATCTTACTGCGATGTGGTGGTGCTACTGGCACATATACAACACATCCAAAAATTCGTAGATGGGCAATATTTGGTTCATGACTAAAAACTAATTGTGATGGAGAATATTTATTATAATAAGTCGGTCTGAGACGGATAAGTGATGTTGCGTGCAAGATAGCATGGCCCCAAACAGTAGTGGGCAATTTTATTTTCATAAGTAGTGGTCTTGCTATCAACTGTAGGTGTTTAATAAATGACTCTACAAGGCTATTTTGAGTATGAACATAAGCTATAGGATGTTCAATTTTTATCCCAACTGACAAACAATAATCATCAAAAGCTTGAGATGGGAATTCTCTAGCATTATCAAGGCGAATAGCTTTTATTGGATAATCTGGAAATTGTGCCCTTAATCGAATTATTTGGGCTAATAACTTTGCAAACGCCAGGTTGCGAGATGATAGTAGGCACACATGAGACCGTCTTGAAGATGCATCTATTAGGACCATAAAATATCTGAACAACCCACTTGGTGGGTAAATAGGTCCACATATATCCCCATGTATACGCTCTAAAAAGGCAGGGGACTCAATGCCAACCTTTATTGGTGATGGTCTAGTGATCATTTTGCATTGATAAAAAGAATCACAAGGAAATTCATCATTTGTAAGAATCTTCAGGTTTTTTAATGGATGCCCACTCGAATTTTCAGTAATTCGTCTCATCATTATTGATCCAGGATGGCCCAAACGGCCATGCTAAAGCACAAAAGTATTTGAATCAGTAAACTTTCGATTTACGATAGAGTGTGTTTCAACTATATTAATCTTTGAATAGTATAAGCCAGAAGATAAAGTTGGTAACTTTTCTACAATGCACTTCTGGTCAGCAACATTCTTTGTAATATAAAGATATTTCATATTCATTTCATCTATCGTCTCAACATGATACCCATTTCGGCGGATATCCATAAAACTCAATAAGTTTCTTCGGGACTTGGAGGAGAATAATGCATTCTCTATAATAAGTTTTGTTCCCTTAGACAGAAATACAATAGCTCTTTCGGAGCCTTCAATCAAACTTATATTACCAGAAATTATAGAAACATTTGCTTTTTCCTTATACAAATAAGAAAAGTATTTCTGATATTTGAATATGGCATGAGTTATTCCACTATCAATTACACAAATATCTTCATGATTGGTCTTTGATCCAAACATAATTTGAGGATTATCTATATTCTTCAAAATGATATAAACAAAATAAATATGATAGTAAACATTATTAGCGCACAATAGAAATAGAAATAGAAGTCCATATTATCTACTACAAATAACAAAAATTAAAATATTTACATCTCTATAGATTAATCACCGATCACATGACTTGTTTCTCCTTTCGGGAGTGCAAAGTAATCAGCTACATCCAAGTGCATGAAGTTTAAATTATCTTCAGAAATAAAATTTGTTTCAGCATTTCTCTCAGTCTTCTTCATGGAGGCTTGATACAGCTCAACCAGGTGCTTTGGCGTACGACATGTATGTGACCAGTGCCCTTTTCCTCCATATCTATAGCATGCATTTTCTACGTTTGCTGCTTGCACCGCTTCATGCTTTTGTTCTTTCCTTTTCCACTGCTGGTGGTGAGTATGGTTCTTTGGTGCATTATTATTACCATGATTAGTGTTTCTTCCCCGACCACGGCCATGACCACGACTAGGGCCACGTCCTCTTCCACGCTTAGTTTGGTGGAAGTTCGTCTCATATATCATCTCTCGATATTGCTGTTGCAGGAGCATGTTCAAGGTATGAAAAATGATAAAAGTTTTCTCCAACATATCATGATCAGTAATATTATCACCTCATAATTTTAATTGGAAAATAATTCTGAACATAGCAGAATTATACTCACTGATAGATTTAAAATCTTGTAGCCTTAAATGAGTCCAATCATATCGTGCCTGTGGAAGAACGACCATCTTCAGGTGGTCATATCTATCTTACAAATTATCCCACAATATGACTGGATCTTTAACAGTAAGATATTCCATTTTCAGGCTCTCATCAAGGTGATGACGTAGAAATTTTATTGCTTTGGCACAGTCTTGGATTGATGCCTGATTTTTGTCCTTGATGGTGTCTGCCAGACCCATCGCATCAAGATGAATTTCGGCATCAAGCACCTAAGACATGTAACTTTTGCCTGATATATCCAGGGCTAAAAATTCAAGTTTAGAAAGATTTGACATTATTTAGAAAAAGAAAATTTGTACCTGTGATACTTTTAAAGTATTTGCTCGAGATGGCAGAGTCTCGTGCTGATAACGTGTTATAAAATAAAAACTGTAAAGTAAATAAACGGAAGACAAGTATAGAGAGAGATTGATATATTATTCAAACTTATGTACATAATGAAATGAAAACTCCTCTAACTATAGAAGAAATGAAGCAGCTGTGAGGCTTTTCAGGAAGCAGCTGCAAGGCTTTTCTTTACCTGCTTGTAAGCTGTCTGCATGAGCTGCTTGCAACCTGCCTGTTTAATAAGAAGCTACTGCAAATCATATCATTGAGCTGCTTGCAACCTGCCTGTTTAATAAGAAGCTACTGCAAATCATATCATTGAGCTGCTTGCAACCTGTCTGCATCAACTGCTTGTAGATAAACTTCAACAGAGTACTAAATGAATAATCTTCTTCAGAAAGATTATCTATAGCGGAGTAATAAATGGACATCCACGACATAATTATTTTCGTAACACAACTGACTTTTTGCACAATAGAATTGATTCTTGAAGTCTCCTCTATCTCTATCTTTCCAACAGTACTAAGGATTAAATTGTGTATGGGCCACCAAACCTTGAGATGCTGCATTTTCTTTTTCTTTTTTTACCACTTGGTATTCGGAATAATCCAGAGCCCACTGTACATGGAGATTTTATTGTGCCCTACCAAAGTGGACTCGTTCTCAAATTTCGAACCGAGACCTCTGGATAGGCAACATTTTTTGATAAGTTAATAGGTTTAAAAAGTTTTATGGCTGTCCACAAAGTTTGTGTTCGTTAAGATGAATTTGTTCGAGATAGTTGAGTGACTATAAATTAAATTTCAAGCAATAAAACTTAAATTTGGATGAATAACACTTTTGCGGGTCTGAATTGGCATCCTTTAGAAATGCTTAAATTAGGCACGTGTAATATGATGTCTATGTGAATGTATAAATGAGGTGACTTATCAAAATTAATAATGCCTAAAGAGCAAGGTATAGTAAAACTCCTCTGGATCTTCAAATTTGTGGGAGTTTATTTTGTAAGATTGCACTGCAATGCTCTGTGAGCTTGACATTGATGTCTCTTCTATCTTTCTCTTCTTTGTAAGGATTTCCTTCAAGAACTTGGCATAAGCTTGCATTTGGGAGAACACCTCTATGAATGGAAAATTTATATTAACTTGTTTTAGCATATCCAGAAATCTCTCAAATTTCTTGTCCAGCTTCTCTCTATAAAGCTTTTGGGAAAAAGGTAAAGCAGGCATGTGCTTGCTCTCTTCAGATTCATCCCTTCTTGAATTCTCTTCCTTCTTCTTTTTCTCAGTTCCCTTCTTACCTTTTTTCTTCTTATCAACTTCATTTTTCAGCTGCTCCCCACTTTCTTTTCAGGTACCACCTCTTTTTGGATAGGGATGGGCTCTTTCAACACTTTCCCGCTTCTCAGAGTTACAACATTCACTGTTTCTTTGGGGTTTCTTTCAGTATCAGCTGGTAGAGTACCTGGGATCCTTTCAGACAATATGGTAAAAATTTGTCACACTTGTTTCTCTAAGTTTCGTAGCCCCTGGATTATATATTCAAAAAGGTATGTTCTTGACCAGTCCACGTTGTTTGACATAGACGTGATTACCTAAACTGGATTTGGTCCCCTCTTCACTATCAGCTTCTGGATTTAGTTAAATCACATACTCAGATATATCCTAAGGTTGGATGCAACTTAATTAGGTTTAGGATTCGTCTGAAGAAAGCAAATTCCAGACATTGGCTTCACAGCATGTGAAGTTCAAGATAGTACATGATTTGTGTGAAGAAAGAACGTAAAAATGAACTAGCTTGCAAAAGTGTAAATACACGGTCCCATTGTTATCATCTATGATCTAACAAATCTATCTATGCACAATCCAAAACAGATAAAATAGTATTGAGAGATCACAGCACATAATCCATTTCAAGATATAAAAATATGCTGCAACAACAACCACCACCCAGTATAATACGCAGACCTTGCCCCTACCTTGGGGTAGAGAGGCTGTTTCAGATAGACCCTCGGCTCCTTCCATCCAAGAACTCCCCACCTTGCTCTTGGGGTGACTCAAACTCAGAACCTCTTGGTTGGAAGTAAAGGGTGCTTACCACTAGAGCAACCCACTCTTGTCAAAAAAAATATGATGCAAGTGCTAATGAATTTTTTATTCTTTCCAAAAATTTTGGGTGTTAGTCTTAATATCGAAATAAACAATGAACATCATTCTACAAAAGTGTTGGCATCAATCATCATAACTTTAGGAACTTCTTCCACGTATGCATGTGTTATATCTTTTTGCTCTAGAATATTTAGCATAGAGCGAATAGTGGTAGAATCCTCGCGAAGTTACTTAACTTGAAGGAAAATTAATTTTTGATTTTCTGAATTTTCTAAAATGTTACTAATACATATTTACACATTTACAACACCAAATTCACCTCATTATTCAGAAGTACTTGCTGAATTACTCCCAATCGACATCAAAGAAGCCAGCATCTTTCATTTCTGAGTAGTATACATTCTCCAGATGCAAGTCATCCTCCTGCACGCATGATTTAGACAAAGCAGGTAAGCTTTTACAAATATCTCTATGTAGAAAGATTTTGGATATATTTGTTTAAGAGTTCTGTTTGCGCTTTGCAGGTCAAGGACATAAAGATCGGAAACCAGCGAGGATGAATAAATGAATTGACGATACCTGGAAAAAGTCCGCGAGAAAAGTAACATAAAGAAGAGGAAGGTACATGGCATGGTAACAGATGACCGTGATATTGTACAACCTATGATGCAAAGTGAGGATCACTCAGTAAGCTAAAAGTAACTTAAGCATAAACCATTTAGTGGTTTTAACCAACTTCTGATTGCAAGATCGTTATTATTATAGCATGAAAAAGACAGTGCAATTTGTTCAAGTTACAGCTGCTTCATGCATAAAACTAGGTTTACGTAAGTTGAATATAACCTTTTGGACGAGACAGCAACGAGAAAAAATGGATTTCTCCACTAACAATTTTTTTTACAAACTTTTTTTTTCTGGTTGTAAATCACATTTCTTGTCATACCGTTCCCTGAGTTACATTAAAGATGCAGCGAAGGAGCTTAAAAGCTACACCATTTTTTATTTTTATTTTTTGTTTAAAAAAAAAAATCTTTGCGCCCAAGTTTAGTTCCACTTGGCAAATTGCAGGTAATATCCCCAACCTCTGAACTCATCCTACATTGGTTCCAATATGATAACGATTGCCCTCAAGTAATTTTTACGAAAAATGAATGTCCTTTTTAATCACATTAGAGAACAAAGAAACATCAAATGACAAAGATTATCAAGTGAATTCACTAAAGATGGCATACCATAATCCAAATCCAGCCCCATGTGCTGCAAGTGCACATGCAAGCAAAGCAGTCGCATTTAAGCAAAACATGATGGAAATATACTTCTGGAATGCAGGTCTTGCTGCAATGACAGAAAGATATTAATAGTAAGGATGCAATTATGTCAGCTCATAGAAAACCCAACATAAATTCATAAGGTGAAACTCACCTGGCAACCTTTCTCTCCATCTAGATCGATACATAAAAAAGATGAGGCCATATACTCCGGTTAGCAGCAGCTTGTGGACAACCCATAAGGCCCATTGCGAGCCATTGGTGCTAACATCAAACAACTGAATACCAAATCCAAATAGGTAGATCCCCTGGAAGAATGAATAGCATGCATCAATACCTCTAGTATAATATAATTCACAAGAAAAGGGTGTACTACTCTTAGCACAGATGAGGCACACAAGAAGCATCACAGAGGTGCTGAATGCTGACATGAATCCTGATCCTCATGAGGCACACAAGAAGCATCATAGAAGATATAACCAGCACAAGCTACTGAAACTTCTGACTTTCAAACTCAATTTGTGCCAGATGCCTCTTCTTTCTTTAAAGGAAAAGTGCTGTTTCGACATATTTATAATTAATAATAATAAGAATGACTCCTCTTTATCAACTTAAGCTTTAATATGAGGCGCTCACACACTTTAGCATGGTGTGAAAGCGATAAAAATCCTGGTTTTTATTAGTTTGGTAGTTAAATAGTTACATGTAAATAACCCTAATCTCATATGTAGTAGGAGTGGAACATGTATTATATATATAGGACTCATTGTATCATCGTCAATACATCAATAATATAATTTTTCCGTGTCATATTTCTCACATGGTATCAGAGCGGCAGTGAGAAAACATCCGGGAAGGAAAACCCAGCCGAAATAGTTGTTGTGCTTCAATTCCGGCGACCTTTTAGGGCTGTTTTTCGTAAAAACCAATTTTCATCGGTGTTGTGCAAAAACCAACACAACCACAAGGTCCCCCAACCCCGGCGACCAAACCCCAACAAACACCTCCGGTAGACGACCTCTCACGCGCTGCCATGCGCCTCCCGGAGAAAAAAATTTCCGGCGAGATATACTCCGCGCGCCGGCGCGTGGAGCCCTTTCCGGCCACTTTTTGAAAATCCTTCTTCAGAACAATCGGACCTACTTGTAATTCCGAGCCTACCCGTGCTTTTATTTTTTGATGCCGAGCACTTTGAAAATTTCCCAGCAACTACAATAGTTTTCCGACAGCTACAGTATTTTTCTGGCAGAAGTACCCACATTTCTTCTGTTATTTGCTGATATTTTTTGCTACACTCTCTTCAATCCAACCATGTCTCTCGGACTTGATGCTTTTGGTTCCAAAAACAGTGGAGTTGGAAATTCAGTCTTGATGATTACTTCTGAACCCCTACTTGGGAGTTCAAATTATTTATCTTGGGCCTCGTCTGTTGAGTTATGGTGTAAAGGTCAAGGTGTTCAAGATCACTTAACCAAACAGGCGAGTGAGAGAGCTGAAAAGGCCAAAGTACAGTGGGAAAAGATTGATGCGCAGTTATGTAGTATCTTGTGGCGATCTATTGATTCCAAATTGATGACTTTGTTTCGCCCACTCCAGGCATGTTATTTAGTTTGGGAAAAAGCTCGTACTTTATACACTAATGATATATCTCGTTTTTATGATGTGATATCGCGAATGACAAACTTGAAGAAACAGGAATCGGATATGTCTACTTACTTGGGACAAGTACAAGCAGTCATGGAAGAATTTGAAAAGCTGATGCCAGTTTCTGCTAGTATTGAAAAGCAACAAGAGCAACGACGGAAGATGTTTCTAGTTCTTACGCTCGCTGGACTTCCTAATGACCTTGATTCAGTACGTGACCAGATTTTGGTTAGTCCGACTGTCCCCAGTGTTATTAAAGGCGAAAAGCGCAAAAAAGCTCTAAAAGGTCTATTGGGGCTTTAAGCGCAAAGCGGAAATAAAGCGTGGACTTTAATGAAAAAATGCGCAACTGGAGAAAAAGTAAAAATTTGTATATGTAATCCAAGACCAATAATTATAAGCATAAATAACAAATATATGGACAAAGAAATTGAAAACAAATTACGACAAAGTGAAATATCAATTGCTTAGTGTCGCCTTTTCAGGATCACACTCATTGGCAAGGAAAAGTATGCCTTAGAACCTTGATGCGGCACTGAAGCGCTCGCAAAGCGAGGCGAAGCGCTCAACATGTTTTGAGCCTCAGTTCAGGGCTTAAGCGCGCTTTAAGCGCGTCTTTGACAACACTGATTGTCCCTACAGTTGATGAATTATTCTCTCGATTACTTCGCCTTGCTGCAGCACCAAGTCACCTAGTGATCTCATCAAAGACACTTGACTCCTCTATTCTCGCATCCAAACAGTGGAAAATCGGGCATCTCAATCTATGGAGAATAGAGAGGGGGAGGTCGTTTTGGAAGATCTAGACCTAAGTGTTCTTATTGTCATAAATTTGGACACACTCGTGAAGTGTGCTATTCTTTACATGGTCGACCACCCAAAAATGCTTATGTTGCTCAAACCGAGACTACAGGTAACCCGGGATTTTCTTTATCTGAAGGGGAATATAATGAACTTCTTCAGTACCGAGCATGTAAACAGACATCTCCACAAGTAGCCTTAATTGCTCAGACTGATACTTTTGTTGCTGGTAATTCTTTTGCTTGTGTTTCCCAGTTGGACCATGGGTCGTGGACTTGGGCGCTTCTGATCATATCTCTGGTAATAAATCACTTTTGTCAAATATTGTGTATTCCACAGTCTCTTCCCACCGTTACTTTAGCCAATGGGTTTCAAACTAAAGCAAAAAGGAGTTGAACAAGCTAATCCTTTATCCTTTGTCACTCTAGATTCCGTTTTATGTCCCTGGCTGTCCTTTTAGTCTTGCATTTGTTAGTCATTTGACTCGTGCCCTCCATTGTGGTATATATTTTATTGATGATTTTTTTATTATGCAGGACCGCAGTACGGGACAGACGATTGGCACAAGACTTGAATCAGAAGGCCTTTACTACCTTAACTCACTCAATCCCTGTAAGGCATGTCTAGTTACAAATCTTTCGTACCTAATTCACAAACGTTTAGGACATCCAAGTTTATCCAAGCTTCAGAAGATGGTGCCTAGTTTATCTAGTTTATCTACATTAGATTGTGAGTCGTGTCAACTCGGGAAACATACCCGAGTCTCCTTTCCTCGTAATATTGAGAGTCATGCAGAGTCTGTTTTAGTAGAGTCAGTTCAACCTTGGGATTTCGTTATTTTGTTAGTTTCATTGATGATTATTCAAGATGTACTTGGTTTTTCTTAATGAAAGATTGTTCTGAGTTGTTTTCTATATTCCAGAATTTTTGTGCTGAAATCAAAAATCAATTTGGTGTTTTTATTCGCACTTTTCGCAGTGATAATGCCTTGAATATTTATCCTCTCAATTTCAGCAATTTATGACTTCTCAACGAATTATTCATCAAACCTCTTGTCCTTATACCCCTCAACAAAATGAGGTTGCAGAGAGAAAGAATAGGCACCTCATTGACACTGCTCGCACACTTCTCATTGAATCTCTTGTTCCGTTGCGTTTTTGGGGTGATGCAGTTCTCACAACTTGTTATTTGATTAATCGGATGCCTTCATCTCCGATCCAGAATCAGATTCCGTATTCAGTATTGTTTCCCCAGTCACCCTTATACTCTCTTCCCCCTCATGTTTTTGGGAGCACTTGTTTCGTGGAGCACTTGTTTCGTTCATAACTTAGCCCCAGGGAAAGATAAGTTAGCTCATCGTGTTCTCAAGTGTGTCTTCCTTGGTTATTCTCGTGTTCAGAAGGGATATTGTTGTTATTCACCTGATCTTCGAGGTACCTTATGTCAGCGGACGTCACATTTTTTGAGTCTAACCTTTCTTTACCTCTTCTGACTACCTTGATATATCTGAGGTCTTACCTATACCGACCTTTGAAGAGTTTACTATAGCTCCTTCTTCACCTTCCGCCACAGAAGTCTTACCCATTCCAACCGTTGAGGAGTCTAGTGTGGCTCCTCCTAGATCCCCAGCCACAGGAACACCACTCTTGACTTATCATCGCCATCCGCGCCCAGCATCAGGCCTAGCTGATTCACGTCATGCACCTGACCCTGCTCCTACTGCGAACTTGTCTCTTCCTAGTACACCGATTGCACTTCGGAAAGGTATACCGACCACACTAAATCTTAATCCCCATTATGTCGATTTAAGTTATTATCGTCTGTCATCACCCCATTATGCTTTTATATCTTCTTTGTCCTATGTTTCCATCCCTAAGTCTACAGGTGAAGCATTGTCTCATCCAGGATGGCGACATGCTATGATTGACGGGATGTCTGCTTTACATACGAGTGGTACTTGGGAAATCGTTACTCTTCCTTCAGGTAAATCTATTGTTGGTTGTCATTGGGTGTATGCAGTCAAGGTTGATCGACTTAAGGCCCGTCTTGTTGCCAAGGGATATACTAAGATATTTGGGCTCGATTACAATGATACATTCTCTCCCGTGGCTAAGATAGCATCAATCCGTCTTTTTCTATCCATGACTGTTGTTCGTCATTGGCCTCTCTATCAGCTGGACATTAAGAATGCTTTTCTACATGGTGACCTTGAGGATGAAGTTTATATGAAGCAACCACCTGAGTTTGTTGCTCAGGGGGAGTCTCGTGGCCTTGTATGTCGCTTGCGCCAGTCACTTTATGGTCTAAAGCAGTCTCCTCGAGCATGGTTTAGTAAGTTCAGTACAGTTATCTAGGAGTTTGGCATGGCTCGTAGTGAAGTTGATCACTCTGTGTTTTATCGGCATTCTGCTTCAAGTCTCTGTATTTGTCTGGTGGTCTATGCTGACCGGCAATGATCAGGATGGTATTACTAAATTGAAGTAACATCTCTTTCAACACTTTCAGACTAAGGATCTAGGCAGACTAAAGTATTTTCTGGGTATTGAGCTCAGTCTAGCTCAGGTATTGTGATCTCACAGGGGAAGTATGCCTTAAACATTCTTGAGGAGACATGAATGATAGGTTGTAGACTGATTGACACTCCGATGGATCCGAATTCTAAACTTTTACCAGGACAGGGGAAGCCGCTTAGCGATCCTGCAAGATATAGGCGGCTGGTTGGTAAATTAAATTATCTCACAGTGACTAGATCTGACATTTCCTTTCCTGTGAGCGTTATAAGTCAGTTTATGGATTCACCCTGTGATAGTCATTGGAATGCAGTTGTCTGCATTCTTCGGTATATAAAATCGGCTCCAGGCAAAGGTTTATTGTTTGAGGATCGAGGCCATGAGCAGATCGTTGGATACTCAGATGCTGATTGGGCAGGATCACCTTCTGATAGACGTTCTACGTCTAGATATTGTGTTTTAGTATGAGGCAATTTGGTGTCTTGGAAGAGCAAGAAACAGAATGTAGTTGCTCGGTCTAGTGTAGAAGCAGAATATCGAGCAATGGCTATGGCAATATGTGAGCTAATTTGGATCAAACAATTGCTCAAAGAGTTGAAATTTGGTGAAATCAGCCAGATAGAACTTGTGTGCGATAATCAAGCTGCCCTTCGTAATGCATCAAATCCGGTGTTCCATGAGAGGACTAAACACATTGAGATTGATTGTCACTTCGTCAGAGAAAAGATACTCTCGGGAGATATTGCTACAAAATTTGTGAAGTCGAATGATCAGTTTGCTGATATTTTCACCAAATATCTCACTGGTCCTCGTATTAGTTATATATGTAACAAGCTCGGTACATATGATTTATATGCACCGGCTTGAGGGGGAGTGTTAGTTTGGTAGTAAAATAGTTACATGTTACTAGCCCTAATCCCATATGTAGTAGGAGTAGAACATGTATTATATATATAAGACTCATTGTCACTACATCAATAATATAATTTTCCCGTGTCATATTTCGCACAGTTTCAAATCTCGCCGCCACCAATCATAAAGAAAAATGTATCTCCACATGCTTGGCCCGGGAAAAAAAAAAGGTGTTAAGACATAATTACAAACCAAAAAAAAAATCTCCTCTCAAACAGCTAAAACATTTAGATGAGATGATAACACACCTTCAACACATTTTTTTTTTGATAATGGTAACATGTATATTAATAAATAAAACAACACTAGGGCAGTGCCAAACCATATTTACAAGGAAAACAAAAACTAGCTATGTCAACCTAAGATTACAGTGCACCTGTCAGGTCTACTAGAGATTCTGCCTCCTGCCAAGCCATATTTACAAGGAAAACACAAAACCAGCTATGTCAACCTAAGATTACAGTGCACCTATCAGGTCTACTAGAGATCCTGCCTCCTCTACACAGCTTTCTTTACACCAGAAATAAAACAAAAGTAAACACTTCATCTTGATGTTCTGTAAAGAATTGCTTCTGTCTTCACAAGTTCTTAAATGGAGATAGATGCCTTTTTTTTATTAGAGCCTTCAAACTCGTTATGTGCGAGGATCTATTAATTCTTTTCAACTAAGTAACTACCGGGAACTCTTTGTGAGCCAAATATACACAAACGTGAAAACGCTTTTCATTCCTTCAAGCACTCCATGTAGTAGGTTCATTTTTTTAATCCCAAATTCATTAGAATTTAGGATCTAGAGAAATCCATCTTGCCCACTAACGGGTAAAGCTACGTAGATTTTTCCAGAGAAGGGAAGAGTTTTACTTGGACACATTATAATCCACGACATTGCATCTGCTGACGAATATAGGTGTAAAGTTTGAAGATAACAACGTATATTATCATGCAAATAATAATAAAGGATGAATGCCTTTCTCAGCCATTTGGCTAAGATCAAGTGTAGGAAAGGATGAATATATGTTTCTTATTTATGGTTCTGTGTGTTCTCTCTAATATATACACCATCCTCAAATTGAATATCTTGTTTTGAAGTTTCATGGCATTTCCAACAAATGCATAAAGAACATGAAGGGGACGACAACGCAGTTTGGCCTTGGAAGCAGTTATGGAAGGCGTAGGCGCTCTATAAAGTCAGCTGTTTTTTTGTGGCTAGTCTCACAGGATGCCTGTCTCACTCAAACCAACCTACAAAGAAGAGGTTTCGATATTGACAGTAGATGTTTTTTGTGCAACAGCGCAGAGGAGAACAGCAGCCATCTTTTTCTTACAATGCCCCGTGACAAGGCAGATTTGGGCCCTTTTTTCAACCTATTTAAAGTTCATTTTGTAATGCCATTCACCGTGAAGGTTTTTTTGACAAGCTGGGGGTTGAAGGATTGAAGAAATCGGTGAGAAAAGTATGGAAGACAGTGCCAAGTTGTGTGTGTTGGGTTATATGGAAGGAAAGAAATGCTAGATGCTTCGAAGGGAAAACAGACTGTTCCGGAGATTAAATTCAAGTGCTTATGGCTTTTGGCTTTTTAGTGTAACTTAAAAGTTGTTAAAGATGAACATAGTATGTTAGAGTTCATAGATTCTCTACAGGAATAGGAGCTTATTCTGGTGGAAACCTTCCTTTTGTTTTGTCTTTGTACAGAAGGGTTTTGAGCTTTGTAATTAACCAGGCACAAGCTTTGTGCCGGGATTCTAATTTTGTGCTATAATACACCACTTTACCTATTAAAAAAAACATGATGAGAAATATAATGATATGCTTCTTATAATTTTTTCCTAGATACAATAATCCTTAAGTTATATCTCGTATTTCATGATTGAGTGATTTTTTTCTTTAATCCTCTTATGACTATCTTCGAATGTAAATTGCATCTTGGACTCCCTATAACTCAGACTGTACATGCATAATCAACTCCGGCACAACCACTATCCTGCAACTAGACCATCCTTCTTAACAAGGGGAAAAGGAGATCCACAAGTTACTCACTTACTTTAAGGACTAGAGAAGAGAATAAGTTGTACTGATAAGTGACAACTCAGTCCATAACCTTTTCTGTTATATAAGTTCCACGATTTTCCTTCACTGAAGTGGACATTTTCAAATACAGTCTAATAAGGACAGTTAGACATTCAATATTGAGCCATAGGATGTTATTTTCATCAAGCTTTTTAAATCTCTAAGCTTATTCTTTACAAGAGAGAAAGTATAGCTTCCAACTTCAATTTACTGAAGAAAAACAAAAAGAAGTGAAGGAAATAAAAAAGAAATTAACTTATACATTTCAAAGGTTTAACAAATTAACAAATGAAAAACAAAGTTAAAATAAGGCATTCAACTGAGAAGAGTAACCCTAAATAGATTACATATTTGTCTGCTGCTATTGTCAATTTACCATGGCACCGGTTTTTCTTAGACGAGTATACTCTCATTCATCGTGCTTTCCGTGTCCCCTCTTCCCTCTCCCTGCAGTTTTCCTATATCCTCACACTGGACACATCAATTTCCGCGTCCCCTCTTCCCTTTCCCTGCAACTTTTCTATTTTCCCACACTGGACACATACTTTTTCCTTATTACATGATAAAAATTGAACATCCAATTCTCTTTTTCTACTTCTTACATTATCCTAGTAGAAATACCATATATGTGCCTCTGAGCCGACGAACTTAACCTTAAGCTATTGCATGGACATGGTAACTGCAACAATAGGCAACAAAGAAGCAAAAGTTCAGGGATTAAACAGAACAAGATCATACCTTGAGAAACATGTCTAAACCAACTGCAAGTGTTGAGATAAGAAAGGTCTGTGTTAAAGCCTCACGTCCACTAGCATGGTTCCCTTGAAGTAGAAAGGCTATCAAGCTTACTTCAAGAAATAGCATGCCAGATGTCGTGAACAAGGAGAGGACACTCCACACAAATTGTTTTGCTGGAGCACACTCCCAAGCCTGTGGGAAAAACAGGTTAAAGAAGAGAATGATAGACAGATAAATCAATTTAGCTTAATTACAGGTAGATCTTTAGGCAAATGTGTAACGACCACTGCACATCAGACACCCAGAAGCATCAATACAAAATCGAAAATGATAGATATTGTATTAAAATGGAGATTTCCTCTTCACGAGAACCAAAAGAACTCATGTTTTTAACCATATGTTGCCTTTGATAGCAACTTGAGAAAGGAAAAAAGAAGCTCTCTTACACGGTCAAGCCCATTAAGAGAAGCATATAATACATTAAGGACCAAAAAAAACTCAAAAAGTTGTCATACTAAATATAAAAAGACATCATAGACAGCACCAGCATCCAGTCAGTTCTCATTTCTCAGGTTTTCTTTGGGATAATAATGTATAGAATTGCTTTCAAAACCATTTGTAGCCCATGCTGGAAACAGAGATTGGACGATAACAGCCATCAATATAACGTCTTTTGTAGTAAAATTATTCAACATGACCCCATATGCAAAATTACTAGCCTTCTGCTTGTTGTTTCTTTGTTTTGTCTTATCATTCCACAGGAAACACCACTATTAGAGTTGTATCTTTCCACGTTAAAGGAAGCAGGAACAGACATTCTTATAGAAGAGGCTACCATAAATAAGTGCATCAAAAATCTGTAATTGTCATGAAATATTATATTATGTAGTGGATGTCTATAACTCCTAAAGAAGTTACTCTCACTACTCTTCTCCATTAACCTCCCACTACTTCTTATCATTATGATTGTAACTCTCACACCTCCATAACCTCCTCCATGATCTTCCCCCATGATCTCAATAGTTAATACCATGTTCATGGAATCCCTTTGTATTACCTAAATATCATCCTATAAATAGAGGGTTTGGACATCACATTGTAGACACTTGAATACATGAATGAAATAAGAATCTCTCCTCTCTTTCTCTCTATGTCTCTTGTTTTTCCTTGTTTTATATTGTTACTCTGAGCTAAGTTTTTTAACACGTTATCAACACGACTTCTCACGACTTCTCCAATTTTACTAAAGTTGAATTTCATTTCTCGCAAGTGATTTATGGGATGTTCACGAAAAGAATACTTTTACTTTTTAAATGGCAAACTGGAACCACACAGTACATAGCAGGGATGGACAAGTTTTTCCACGACGGTGTAGTATGTACTAGACAATTGCTACACCAACATGGTACATGTATTCTCTTGATAGTATTGCGGTAAACCTTTCTTTCTCTAGAGATCCAGGGAGGTATAATCTTTATATTCTTCGTGGTGCACTCATACCTCTATATGTCAGATTTGATTCAGCAAATGAGCATGTAATAATTACTCTCTCTCCGTGAGTTTCTATGAAATTAACATGCCAAATAGATTTGAGCAAAATAGTTTCAATCTGGTAGAGTGACTTACTAATTTATAATACTTATGTCACATGAATATGTTGGTGTACCATATTACTTGTTGGAATTAAAATCACTTGTAAGCTTTATAGAAATATTGGGTTAGCATAATTAAGTTGCTAATGGGTTGAACATATATATACATACTTAGATATTTATATTATTTCATGAAAAGATAATTCTTTTGAACCCTCAGTTATATCAAGCCAAACTTTGCAAAGCTTTCAATTTTGTTCATGCTTGATGAATATAATTTTGTTAGTTTCTACAATTGTATGCATAATACAAGTGATCAGTTTTTCTTTTAACAAACTTTTGATTGATTTTATGCATGCTAACTGACTTAATTTGCTTGTAAAAAATACTTTCAAACATTTTGTCAGTTATCGTTATTAAATACAATTCGGTGGAGCGAAAAATAAGCAAGTCACAGTACTTGTATTTATTATTTCTAACTTAGTTATTTTCTGCGATAGTGATTATGGCTTAAGGGTGAGATCTAACATGCTTTGGCTTATTATGCCATTAGTTAAGGGCAAGACAATGGACACAAGTCCCAACACACCATGAGGGTAAGACATCAAGTTAAAGTCTTAGATGCACTATGATGATAAGACGTTGGGTCTGAGTCCCAATATATTATGGCATAACATGCCTTTATATGGGTAAGGCATTGGGTTTGAGTCCCAATGCACCATATTGATGATATAATGATGACTTATGAAAATAATGTATTTTTCATGAAAAAGCATGAAGTTTGTCCCACTTGATTTGCTCCATTCTTGAAGTGAATGTGATAGCGATGCATAATAAGTCTAAACGAAGACAAGTGGTTGACCAATGAACGTGGGCGTGCCAAAGATCAAAATAATAACAATCATCATTATAGTAATTGTAAAAAGGAGAACAATAAGGGTTCTCAAACTAAGCCTTCAAAGATGAAGGAAATGTGTATCAATGTGGCCTGTAACTATGAGGCACATTCAAATGATTATGGTCTATTCCTTGAAAATGTGACTTGTGATAAACATTGTAAATGCAGACTCATTCCTAGAAGAGAATGTGGAAATATATATGTGATAAAACATTATGAACAAAAGCGTGTTCATGCATGGTTAGATAAATACCACAACTCACCTCTAAGGGAGGTTTGAGAAAGATTATAATTTTAATGTGTGATTACATGAATATGTATTCGGTCGCGTACTTATGGTACGACAGATATATTTTGTCAGGCCTTATCAAATATTATTAAAGGCAAAAGTAAAGCAAGAAACAAGTCTTGTCTATAATGATTTTGACCGTGACACTGATAATATAATTTCTGTGGAGGAAAAATTCACCACTTAGATGGTGTTATAAAAGATCTTATAGTACAAAATTATTGAGAGCTACGTAAGAGCGAATTTGATACTAGCCGATAAATAAAATTATTATGGCATTGGTGTTGTAGTAAGTCTCAAAAGAAACTTTTTGAGTTTCAAAGATATTAGCCAAAGTGGTTGGCATTTGAGACTATAAATGAAAGGAAGATTGAATATCTTAATATTACTATAATCATAACGGGTAAATATGAAAGGTTACCCGATTTTTCTTCTATCTGTACTACACAAGTATAAGCATGATGCTGGAATCACATGCCACAAATAAACTAGAGGTTTACTGAAATAAATATTAGTTGGCATGACTGGTTGGCCATCCCGGATCAATTATGATGCGAAGATTGATTGAGAATTCACATTGGCATATATTGAAGAAATAGAAGATTTTTCAAGAATTCCCTTGTGCTGCTTATTCTCATGATATACCAGCTAAGGTTGGGAGTGAATCCCTTGATTTTTGGAACGAATAAAAGGTGATATATATATATATATATGTATATATATATGGGCCCAGTCACCTGCTATGGGGACCGTTTACTATTATATGATTTTAATACATGCATCCATTGTATGGTCACATGTGCGTTTGTTATCAACTTGCAGTCTGGATTTTGCAAGGTTGCTTGCTCAAATTATTAGATCACAATTCCAGAATGTAAATTATGATGATTTATCTTGATAATGCTGGTTTAAATCCAAGTTGGTTTAGCAGAAATTGTATGCCTCCGATTATAGCTAAACCATTGGTTATGAGAACAAAACTCCCAAAAAGAAATTTGGTATGCGGTGTATTATTTAATATACAGCACCACTTATATGCATCTAGCCAACAAGTTATGATAAATTCTCCATATCACAATTGGTACAGGGTCAGGAACCAAATAATTTTCATCTAGAAATATGGATGTGCTATATCATTTAATTGTTCCACCACAATGCACAAAGATGTGTCCCAAAATAAGGTTAGGAATATGTGTTAGTGATGCCAACATTAGGGAGAGAAAATGGGCAGTTGAAAATAATACATGAAATGAATTATTATGAGTACATCTAGATCCTCGTACAAGAAAATGTGAACTTGAAGTTCAAGTGATAATTCATTTGCAAAATATTGCCAGACACATCTGCTGACCCAAAGCTAAATGTCATATTTCAACTGCTAATACTCCGGATAGAATAAAATTCATGATGGACAAGTTTATGGCCCACATGAAGCGTAATAGACTAATCGGTTCCAAAGATAAAGTTCCTTGAAGAAGGAGAGGAGCAAATGATCGCGATGGTCATAATAAGGAGGCAAGTGCTCTAGAAGAGCACTACAACATAACACACGTCAAAAGACCTCATGGGAGAGGCTCAGGTACCTGAAAATAATGAGATAAGGAGATCTCATTAAGTTATGTCTATATTGGGTAACGATGGAACCGATATAAAATGAACGTCGACAATATTGTTGATATAATGTAGCGCTCAATATTATTAATATTGATGAGGATCTTTAGCTCAAATCTATCATGGAATTCGGACAGATAAATGATTGCAAAAGGATTAGTGTTATATTGCAAAAAGAATCTTTGATATAGATTTGTTTATTCTAACAAACATTGCCAAGGTTTTGTTGATGTTGTGCAAATGCAGGGCTGAAGTTCGTTCTTTAAGCAACCTATTTGCATGTGAGGGTATTATCATATTATGATATTCTACAAAGGCTGTCAATTATTAATTCAGGTCATGCCAAGCAACTTATAAAGCAAGTGACTCAACACACAACAAATGTGTTATTTTTCTTTGAAAAAGAAGATTTCAATAATATTGAAGATAATGCTGCTTGTTTATCTCAATTGGAAGAAGGATATATTGAAGGCGACAAAACAAAGCAGATTCTTTTTAGACATGATCTTCGACAGATTGGTGATATAGATGTTCAACAAATTTATTTGATTGATAATTTGGTGGATCTGTTCAATGAATCATCTCCAATTTCAACATTTGAGAAGCTGATATACGACATTGGAATGCGTCATTTCCGAAAAGTAAAGTCATTTCCGAAAAGTAAAGTGATGTTTTCATCAGGGGAGTAAGATACGCGATGCACTCTTTTTCCTTAGCTAAGGTTTTATCTCACTGGATTTTCCAGACAAGGTTTTTAACGAGGCAACAAACAATGTGTATTACAAGATATGTGTACTCTTTTTCCTTCACTAAGATTTTTCCCACGAGATTTTTTCGTAGTAAGGTTTTAACGAGGCACATTATCTATAGACATCCAAGGGGGAGTGTTATGAAATATTATATTATGTAGTGGTTGTCTATAACTCCTAAAGAAGTTACTCTCGCTACTCTTCTCCATTAACCTCCCACTACTTCTTACCATTATAATTGTAACTCCCACGCCTCCATAACCTCGATCTTCCCCCATGATCTCAATAGCTAATACCATGTCCATGGAATCCCTTTGTATTACCTAAATATCATCCTATAAATAGAGGGTTTGGGCATCACATTGTAGACACTTGAATACATGGATGAAATAAGAATCTCTCCTCTCTTTCTCTCTATATCTCTTATTTTTCCTTGTTTTATATTGTTACTTTGAGCTAAGTTTCTTAACAGTAATATTATTCTCTGACAATTAGCATAGCAAAGATGATCATTGCCACATTTCCGAAAGAACTAATCACGTGTTTTTGGACAATCATTTTCTAATCATAGCCAGAAACAACTGACAGGAAACTAATTGTAGCTAGAAACAAAGGTTCCATTTTGTAATCGTTTACTAGACTCAAGCAATTAAAAACAATAATTTCACCATGTACAAACATTATTCCAGGAAGTACATATCTCAAAACCAAAAATTTAATAAATTACATACTTAACCGCTTAATTGAACATACAAACCGCACAAAAGAAAAAGGTACCTGAAGAGAGGACCAAGCCAAATTGAAGAAGCTAACGAGCCAGAGAATGGCATATAGAGCAGTGACTACATGCGATCTGCCATTGGAAACTTTCGAGAAGCTTCTCTTGGCTTGGGAAGCCAAGTATACAACAAATAGTGCTGAAGGCACTATCATCAATACATTATGCCATAAACCGTGACACTCTACTAGCCAACCGTACAACCAACTACCGCCGCCTCCTGCTCCGACCACCGCTCCTGCGGAAGAAGACGGTGGTAGCTCCGCCACTATGGATTCCACAGATCTCATTTTTCCATCAATCATCAAAAAGCCCTAACCTTTAGCTGATCCGTGCGATTATCAGATGAGATAGAGGTCATGTTTAGGTAGAAATTATAATTTGGACTCTTTCTATGCTCCGTTTTAAAATATAAAATAAAAAAGAAATTTCAACTTATCATGTGTATGTTATTTTCTAGTTGGCTGCCACGTAAGCACTCATATGTCTGCCACTTCATAATTGAAATTATAACTTATATTAAATTATAATTTACTCATTAGTCATTTTGAAATGTTGAGTGCGAACCCAACTTGTATGTTACCGGCATGAACACTTTTTAGATAAAGTTAAATTATTAAAATGTCATTCAAAAATTGAATGACCAAATTATCCTCTACCTAAAATTAAAATAATCTCACATTAAATGATGTTTTATACTTAATATTGCGGTAATAAATAATTCACAACATTCATAAAAGAAATAATCACAATAACAGGTTGCCATACGTTCAGCCGTTATTGTATACGCTTTAGAGACGCTGCAAATTTTAATCAATTCATTGTATATTATATGCTTTCATCTTGGATTGAAGACAATTTTATAGAAAATTATAGACGTACTCTGTGCAATGTCATTTAAATTATCCAAATAAAATTACTTTTCATTAATTTATTAACTATCGATCATTTTCAAATTATTCTTACGTATGTACTTAATGGGAAGAGCTTTTCACCTGATAATTAGTTATTCTAAACCTCTTGATATGCCAATTTCGTTTCCACCAATATAGTCATTAATCATTTCACATAAATGCACACAAAATAAAGTTGGTTATTAAATTGTGAATCCTATTAAATGATAAATAATGATTGTGGTAAATTATTAATTGGAAAGAATATTTTATCACTATCTAAGCCTTTTGACTTCCACCAAATTAATAACTCTTCATTTCTCTTAAAACGTAAAGATTTTTTAGGAAATTAATAAGAATCCAACACACCAGGTTCATTTTCATGATAGAATAATTTTATATTATCAATACATTTATCATTCTCTTTGAATAAATAATCGTATAAATGACATAAAAGGCACTGTAAATTCTTTGTGGCAACTCACATCCAATGTAACTGCTCTAGAAGATGATAAGGACAGTCAGCAATTTGCTTTTTATTAGAGACATGCGGTAAGATCATTGCATCAACTTTACTAATCTAATCATTTTCAAATTTAGCACAAAAAAAATTATCATTGTGCTTGACATATATGCAAAATGTAGGACATTGTTGTTGTTGCTGCTCGATTTTAAATGCTACTTTTATTGTTATAAAGTTGACGAGACATCTATTTGGAACGATTTGGGCAAGTATCAAAAAAATAATTCTTAATTAATATTTTTTTCGTAATGGTTACTCCGTCTATTTGGAAGTGAAACGTTCTCTTTTTTTTAAGTTTTCTTGCTTTTGCATTTTCTTTGATAGATTTAAGGACATCTAGAAATCATACATTATATTTCTTGTACTTGCAAAAGGATATGTGATTCATAAGTCTTTTCAACCTATTTGCAATTTATTAATCAAGTGCATCCCTAAAAAGCATATTTTTCTTGATTCTTTATTATACATTGAGGCATGATGTCACAACCCGAAATTTTCACATTCAGGACCGTAATTTCGCCTAACATTTTACTTTATAGGCAACCCAACGTTAGAAAAATCTTAACCATTTTTAAACAAATCAATTTAAGCGGAAGTCAATTACTGAAATAAAGTGCGAAAGACCACAACAATCGAATCATCAAAATACATTCCGAATCCGGTGTCACAAGTACACGAGCTACTAGGATAATACAAATAATGGTCTGAATAAAATTCAAGTTATTTAAAAGATAATACACAGCTAAGATAAGATAGAAGGGGACTTCAGAATTGCGGACGATGTACAGTTATACCCGAAGTCTCCTCTGGGTAGCTGAATCCGAGCAAGTCTATGGTACGTCGATGGGACCAACTCTAAAATCTGCACAAGAAGTGTAGAGTGTAGTATGAGTACAATCGACCCCGTGTACTCCGTAAGTGTCGAGCCTAACCTCGACGAAATAGTGACGAGGCTATGACAAGACACATATGTAAATAACTTGTACAAGTATATACAAATATGAAACAACAATAACACAATAAATAATAATTTATAAATTGGGAGGGAACATGGGAAGGGAAATGATATAGAAATTTCAGCAGGATAAGTGTCACGTAGCAGCCAATTAATTCATCAACGATAAAATGAGCAGCTGATAATATAAAAATGGCACGGCACCACCTTTCGTGCTTTTACTCTCATTCCTCCTATAATTTGATAAATACATAATAATATTTGGCACGATATCACCCTTTGTGCTTTAACTCTATTTTGGCACGGCATCACCATTCGTGCTTTTACACTCTCTGAAAATGGCACGACATCACCCTTCGTTCTTTTACACTCAAAAATGGCACGACATCAACCTTCGTACTTTTACACTCTTTCTCGCCATGACAAGGATTATATAAATAATATAAATGGTACGACATCACTCTTCGTGCTTTTATATTCTTTCTCACCATATTCAACAATAATTAAAACAATAAAATTTCATGAATAACGATCAAATAACCAATAATAAACTTAAGCATGAGTATCTTAATTAAATAAATAATTATTTAAAATGAAATAAATTCCTCCAGCATGCTTTGACTCAACCACAACGCATAAGTACTCGTCACCTCACATATACATTGTATCCGCACATTAAATCACGTAGCAAATAAACAAATAAATCATACTCCCTTAAGTCAAGGTTAACCACGACACTTACCTCGATTTGAAACCAAATTCAAGTTTCCAATAAACCTTTGCCTCGCGAATTCGTGTCTGAAATCCTCAAATCTAGTCATAAATAATTCAATGTACTCAAAACAAATCGTAGGAATTGATTCCATACGAATTTATTAATTTTTCGGATTAAAATCTGAAATTTATTTTAAAAATTGACAGTGGAACCCATATCTCGAATCCCTTAAAAACTCACGAAAACCAAACACTCGTTCCGATACGAGTTCAACCATATAAAAATTATCGAATTCTGACATCGGACTGACTTTCAAATCTTCATTTTATATTTTTTAAATATTTTATAAAAATTCCAATTTCTTCTATCTAAATCCGAAATAAAATAATGAATATAGACATATATTTATGAAATACAATCACTATATGATAAAGAACACTTACCCAGTTCAAAATCGTGAAAAACTCCTTGGAATCGCCCCTAAACCGAGTTCTAATGGAGTTTTTGTGAAAATGGGAAAAATTCCGTTTTTGATCTGTTTTAATCACTGGGCAGGCCTTCTTCGCATTCGCGAAGGGCCTCTCGCGTTCGCGATGCAATGACTCAAATAGCCTACGCGTTCACGAGATACCCTTCGCATTCGCGAGCCTTGTGTTGCGTTCGCGAAGAGCACTGATCGGTTTCCCCTTCCCCAGGTCCACAAAGCTACACGTTCGCGATACACTGTCCGCGTTCGCGAAGGGCAGCCCCTCATCCACTTCGCGTTCGCGTACAGCCCTTCGCGTTCGTGTAGGGTAAAATCCCTCCCAGTCCGTTCGCGAGAGTACCTTCGCGAACGCGAAGAAGGAAACACCAGAAACCAGTTGAAGCACAAAAAACCAGATTTTTTAAGTTTCAAAACATTCGTAGCCTATCCGAAATTCACCTGAGTCCTCGGGACTCCAAACCAATTATGCACACAAGTTCAAAAATATCATACAAACTCGCTCACGCAATCAAACACCAAAATAACGCCTAGAACTACGAATCGGACTCCAAATCAAATAAAATTTTCAATAAAACTTTAGAACTTCTATTTTTAACAACCGGATGTCCGAATCACGTCAAACCAGCTTTGTTTCTCACCAAATTTGGTAGACAAGTCATAAATATAATAATGGAGCTATACCGGGTTTCAAAACCAAAATACAGATCCAGTATCAACAAAGTCAAACATTGGTCAATTCTTTAAAGTCATTAAGCCTTTAAACTTTTATTTTTTGGCAAAAAGCGATAACTCGAGCTAGGGATCTTTGAATTCGATTTCGGGTATACGCCCAAGTCCCAAATCACGATACATACCTAATGGAACTGTCAAAATACTGATCAAGGTCCGTTTGCTCAAAATGTTGACTGAAGTCAACTCAGTTGAGTTTTAAAGCTCCATTTCACATTTTAATCTATTTTTCACATAAAAACTTTCCGAAAAATTATACGGATTATACACGCAAGTCGAGGAATGAAGAATAGTTCTATTTGAGGTCTCAGAATACATAAATAATTTATTAAATTTAAAGATGACCTATCGGGTCATCACACATGACTGTGCTTAGTTTTTATTTATTTTTTTGGGATTGTTTTCTTTCAATCTCATAGCCTGGCTATAAAACTAGAAAATTCCTAATTAATTTATGCATCTCTTTCAGTGTGAACTGAACTTCTGTAATGAGCTAAGAAGTTGACGCAATGAAGAATAAGTACTCAGCGTGAGATTTCTTGTGAAATATAATATTTTTATATATACTCAAGGAAAGCAAGCATTATATAAATGAAAGCGAATGTGTTAGAAAGCTTTTAACTGATGGATCATGAAATATTAGTTTGGACATAAGTCGCACAACTCATCGATGCTCAAAATATGGAGTAAGATTGTTATGTTATGATATCAGTATATGTCTATGCTCAATAGTTGTCATCACTTACTACATGGTTAGGATGAGAGGTTGATAGGATTAATATACTGCATAAGTAAATTAAACGTCCCATCATAAGATATTTTTTCTTTTTATGTATCTTGATTTTAGTTTACTCTTTTAGGTGGGAGGCAGAGGAGATTTCTGTTGCTTTGTTGGAGCAAGTTTATTGAAACTTTTTAATGTTCGAAGATTACTTTCCAAGACTTAACCACGTCCATAGGTCATAACATAAAATAACTGCAATTTCTAAAAAATATCTAACACTAAATTCAGAAGTTGTTCAACTTATTTTTTGTGAAGAAAAAGAGATCTTGCTTATATTACTACAAGTGTATTTTAAAATATAAGCTATATAACTATAA